TTTTGGGGTTCCGTGTCTGATTTTTGGGGTGCCCCAGGTTCGGGGGGTCCCTGGAGCGCTCCGAGGCCGAGCTCGCGCTCTCCTCCCGCTCCGACGGCGCTTTCCTGGTGCGGCAGCGGCTGCGCGAGCCCGGAGACTTCGCCATCAGCGTCAAGTGAGGGGACAGCGGGGGACAGCGGGGGACATTGGGGGGACACTGGGGGGACATTGAGGGGACAGCCGGGGGACAGTTTTGGGGACAGTTTTGGGGTCGCAGGGACACTTCTGGGATAGTTGGGGACACACCTGGGGACATTGGGGACACTGCGGGGACACCTGGGGACATGTGGGGACAGCTGGGGACACCTTTGGGGACACTGCGGGGACACCTCTGGGGACAGTTTTGGGGTCGCGGGGACACTTTTGGGACAGTTGGGGACACACCTGGGGACAGCTGGGGACACTTGGGGACACCACAGGGACACCTTTGGGGATATCTGGGGACAGCTGGGGACATGTGGGGACACTGCAGGGACACTGCAGGGACATTGGGGACACCCAGGGACAGCTGGGGACAGTTGGGGACACTGCAGGGACAGCCGGGGACACCTTTGGGGACAGTTTTGGGGTCGCAGGGACACTTTCGGGACAGTTGGGGACACACCTGGGGACATTGGGGACACTGGGGGGACACCTGGGGACATGTGGGGACAGCTGGGGACACCTTTGGGGACGCTGCGGGGACAGTTTTGGGGACAGTTTTGGGGACAGTTTTGGGGACAGTTTTGGGGTCGCAGAGACACTTCTGGGACAGTTGGGGACAGATGGGGACACCGCAGGGACAACAGAGAGACACCTGGGGACACTGAAGGGACACCTGGGGACACTGAGGGGACACTGAGGGGACAGCGAGGGGACACCCGGGGGACAGCGAGGGGACACCCGGGGGACATTGAGGGGACAGTTTTGGGGTCGCAGGGACACTTTTGGGACAGTTTGGGACACAGCTGGGGACACTTTTGGGACACTTTTGGGACACTGCAGGGACACTGCAGGGACACTGCAGGGACATTGGGGACACCCAGAGACAGCTGGGGACAGTTGGGGACACTTGGGGACACTGCAGGGACATTGGGGACACTGCAGGGGCATTGGGGACACCCAGAGACAGCTGGGGACAGTTGGGGACACCCCAGGGACACCTTTGGGGATATCTGGGGACAGCTGGGGACATGTGGGGACACTGCAGGGACAGCCGGGGGACAGTTTTGGGGACAGTTTTGGGGTCGCAGGGACACTTATGGGATAGTTGGGGACACACCTGGGGACATTGGGGACACTGGTGGGACACCTGGGGACATGTGGGGACAGCTGGGGACACCTTTGGGGACACTGCGGGGACAGTTTTGGGGACAGTTTTGGGGTCGCAGGGACACTTTTGGGACAGTTGGGGACAGATGGGGACACCGCAGGGACAACAGAGAGACACCTGAGGACACCTGGGGACATCTTTGAGGACACACCTGGGGACATTGGGGACAGCTGAGGACAGCTGGGGACATGTGGGGACACTGGGGGGACATTGGGGGGACACTGAGGGAACATTGAGGAGACACCCGGGGGACAGTTTTGGGGACAGTTTTGGGGTCGCAGGGACACTTTCGGGACAGTTGGGGACACAGCTGGGGACAGCTGGGGACACTTGGGGACACTTGGGGACACTGCAGGGACATTGGGGACACCCAGGGACAGCTGGGGACAGTTGGGGACACCCCAGGGACACCTTTGGGGATATCTGGGGACAGCTGGGGACAGTTGGGGACACTGCAGGGACAGCCGGGGACACCTCTGGGGACAGTTTTGGGGTCGCAGGGACACTTTTGGGACAGCTGGGGACACTGCGGGGACACCTGGGGACACTGCGGGGACACCTGGGGACACGTGGGGACAGCTGGGGACAGCTGGGGACAGATGGGGACACTGCAGGGACATTGGGGACACCGAGGGGACACCGAGGGGACACTGAGGGGACAGTGAGGGGACATTGAGGGGACACCGAGGGGACATTGAGGGGACAGTGAGGGGACATTGGGGGGACACTGCGGGGACACTTTTGGGGACAGTTTTGGAGTGTCCGGGACACTTTTGGGGACACTTTTGGGGATAGTTTTGGGGACACTCGGGGACACTTTTGGGGACAGTTTTGGGGGGGCGGGGAGGCTTTGG